GCCTGCCGTACAGTGAGCTCCCCGCCCGCCCGCCTGTTGAACTGACTGCTGCTGCGGTCTGAGCAGAAGCTGAGCCGACTGTTACACTAGCAAGAAAGACTTATGACTGAACAAAGGTCCACATCTTTTCTCCAAGGGTAACAATACATAAAAACAGTTTTTTTCTCCAACAACTTGATATGAAAAAAAACTATGGTTCTTATTATAACTTCGCTCTGCACGACGTGCAGCGGGAGGGAGGGAGTGATCCAGCGACACACTGGTTTTCTACAGTGGGAGGGGGAGATTTTGAGGATTTTTTTTCTTTATAGGTGTATTAAAACGCTATATTTATTAATTTATTTTCAGAATAGTTTGAAAATAAAAGAAATGGTTTACCTGCCCCGGGCAGACGGTAAATAGAATTTGTCGAACCCTGGCACGTGCTGCGCGGGGGCTGATGTCCGCTCTGACTAAATAAACAAAAGTTTAACCTGGCGGGGAGGCATGTAAAGCCTGGCGGCCTTATAATGTGCTGTGGGAAACCCTGAAGCTTTTCCTCAAACTTCCAGACACTATATTAAATGTGGTTTAATTGAATTATATAATATATACAATGTATTATCATTTAAGAACTCTCTTACTTTATACTATATTGCAATTATTTTTACTATTTTTTCTTAAGTCCTAAGATCTTCATGTCAGCTTCTTATCAATAATACCCATCCTATTTAACAAACAGTTTTAAGAACCAATGTTCAGAAATTCTGTTTTTAACTTAAAAANAGATAGACACCGTCACATTTTCTGTTTTGTGTGTGTGTGTGTGTGTGTGTGTGCTTTGTGGTTTTTCGTGCATTTTCAGTTTCCTTCGTGTTGTGTTCGCTTTCGCCATTGTCTGCCGCCGCCTCTCCGTTAGTTCTCTAAAACTAGCACGCACTGCTTACGTGTTTCAACTTTTAGTGACTAAACAGTCACTAAAAAGCCTTGTGGAGTAATTTAGACGCCTAAGAAGAGTAGCAGTCACAGCCGACATAAAGCAATGAAAGCCACAATCCTTCTCGTTGCCCGCATCCTCTACACTTTGAAACACGTGCTCCGACGCCATTTTGACCCAACAACAGGTTGTAGCAGGGTACTCTCGTTTCCTGTATGCTAGCCAAGTGGCCTCTTATTTGGCGCTGAATGTACAATCTTACACAGTTGAAGAACAAGTGACTGTTAAAAACTATTTTCGAAGTCAAACAGTGGGGTATTTTGTCATGTGGCCGTGTTACAGACAGATCCCCCCCC